AAACATTACAATAAACAAGTGCATAGACTTTTTGAGCTTTAGGGTGTAGGGTGTACGGTTTAAGGTGCAGGGTTTAAGGTCTACGGTTTAAGGTTTAGGATGTAGGGTTTAGGCTCAAGGATGTAGGGTGTGGGGTTTAGAATTTAATGTGTAGAATTTAGAGTTTAGGGTGTAGGGTGTAGGGTTTAGGTTATGCGGAGCTTGTTTCTCTAAATGACATTGTTTCTCTTTTTGTTTCCGAAAACAGAAAAGTTGATTTTTTTTACTTCTTATTTCTATTCCAAATCTATTCCCTAGCCACCAATTTGTTCCAGAAAATAGAAAAATTAACTGACGTATACAAACAGATTTCTGTTCTTTTTTTGTTCCGGAGAACAGAAGACCAGATAAATAGAAAATGTTACTAAACAAGCCCGTAACGACTGAGATTGTAAAATACGATCTTGAGCAGAAAAGACAATCACATATGTTATTTGATGGACAATTATTATTATAGAGGGACGTGTTTCTTAGAAATAAATGGATATTTAGTTCCATATAAATATCGAGGATGGGTAGAGGCCGAATTTGCATTGTTCAGTCATCAATATGAATTTGATGGCGCTCGTTTAATGAAAAAAGGAACCGGCATAAATATCGCATCTTAGGCTTCGTTTGTTTCGCGAATCATGAACGATTAAGAAAATATTTCCATAAAATGATCACTTCTGTAGCTTGAAATAACAAATCAAGGGAAAATATTTCCATTATTGACAATAATTTAATTTTTCCTAAAAATGATGGTTTGTATCGCTTTCAAAAATGAACGAAAGAGAAATATTTTCACCCCACAAAAATATTTAGATATAAATTGTTGTCAATAATTTTTCTAAAATTGATGGCTTGTCTCGCTTACAAAATGAACGAAAAGGAAATATTTTTACCATCCACAAAAAATGTTTAGATATAAATTGTCGTCGATAATGAAAAAAAAGATCCGTCGACTAATTATTATTTTTCAAACCATGCGTTTTTCGCAAAACAAATGGAACTTAAGACTTTTTTAATTTTATTTTGTGGGTAAGGGTATGGTATCTTGGATTGACTTTTGCACAATAAAGTAAATCTGCTATCTAGTTTAATCAAATTGCGGGCTACTAATATTCTATAATTGAGATTATAAAATTTGCAAGGAACGACACTCCCATAAGCCATATCCCCACTTTCAGAAGCGGTGCCCATCTCGCAGTACGAATTTTGAAACAACAAAAGGCTAACGACACGTTCAGGTTTAACAAATATTTCGAGAGCGCATAAAAATTAAAAATGGGAATGAAAACAATGCCCCGTTTTCATGGAAATAGTTTTTGTGAGCGAAGAAAAAGTTTCTCTAAGCCCACACGTAAAGAAGCTGATGGCCAAAACCAAGCCATGACAAGCTCATCAATCATAAAGACCGTGACAATACAATTGACCTAGACCCAACCGCGAAATGTCTGATAAACTCATTGATCCCGAGCTTCCAATTGGCAAAGCTTAAGTGAAGTACATAACACGTGGTGACGACGATCGATTGACTCAAGAATGCACGGAAGATGAAAAATTGAGTTACGAAGGATCGGTCGACCTAGGTTGACCTTTGCTGAGGAAATAGGAGCTGTCGCAAATCATCCTAGGGTAGAGCACAAAGTTAAGATGGCTAGAGATTCTTGCGAAGAAATATCAAAGCACATGACGGAATAAGCCCATTTAAAGACACAAGAAGAATCAAGGAAGAGGACATCTTTTCACAAGCAACCAAGACATATAAGAAATAAAGAAAAAAACAGCGCGATTGTGACTCTAAAAACATGAGACGTGGGGTATCGATTTAGAGTAGATTTGTCTAGGTTTGAATTAGAAATTCGAATTAGGCTCCGTTTATTTCGCAAGAATATATAATTTTGGAAAATATTTTCCTAAAAATATTACTTGTATTGCTTAAAAATATTAATCGATGAAATATATTTTCACAATCTACAATTTATGTCTAAATATTTTCGTGCTTGAACAATGAAAATATTTTTCCGTTCATTCACTTTTGTAAGTGAAACAAGCGCACGGAATCACTTTTGTAATTTTCTTGTTGTTTCCACTATATCGTTCGCGTATTAGTGTTTTTTTTGGTTCGCGCATTAGTGATTCCACTTTATGGGGACATATTTGTGTTTCATAAAAATTAGAAAAGGAGACTTTCGTGTTTGGAATGAAACATCGGAAACACAAAAAGTTCATCCTCAATATTTATTTGGACTTCAGTTTTGAAGATAATTTATCTTATTTTCGTTCGAAATTAGTCTTAATATATCGTTAAATGATGAGTAGTTTTCGCTTTTCATTTAAAATATAGGGTTAATATCCCGATAAATCTCAAATAGGTACACTTGTGACAAATTTATCCAAAACTAATTTTTCACAACGAAAAATCCCAAATTGATACATCAGTGACAATTATATCATATGTTAGTTTCCGTTAAATTTTACCGTCAAATTTATGAGTTGGATGATACGTTGCAGTTGACGAGTATACCAATTTAGGGTTTTACGTTCCGTCCGTCACATGTGTACCATTTTGTGATTTTTCGTGATATAAATCAAATTTAATAAAGGGTAAATTTGTTACAAATATACCAGGTTGGGATTTTTGGTGGTCAAATAATTAGTTTAGGGTAAATCTGTCATAGGTGTATCAGTTCGGAATTTTTTGTAGTCAAAAAATTAATTTTTGATAAATTTATCACAGATGTACAAATTTAGGATTTTTCATGATATTAACCTTAAAATATATATAAAAAATTAAAAATATATTTGCCTAGCCAAAAAATCATAAAATGGAGGCCCTCAAAAGTCCCCGATATCAGACGGGTCAAAACCTGCTATCGAATCCCTTTACCACCCCATGAGATATTCTTTAGGAAACATCCTAGAAAAGCGATTGGTTCTTTTGATTTTAAATCAATCTCGTTCCTATCATATGTTTCAAAAAGGAGTGCACCCCCCACCGTACTTGTCATTTACCCAAAAAGAGGCATTAACAACTTCTTTTTATCTTATTTGGAAATATGACCCGCTTCTTTATTGGGCGTTCGACATGCATTAGTCTCGTGTCGGCAAGATGGACGCTGCCATCTCGGTGATTGGTCGAGTAGTCCATAACTTAGCTTGCAAGCCGAATGTCACAAGTTTCGATCATCAGCCTATTATCGATTTTCATAAAACTTTGATTAGTCTACAAAGAAGGGGCTTAGATATAAGTATATCGTTCGTTTTGCTTGGTGGTGTGAGGGCGATGGGCTCGCCCAGCAGACAGTGAGGATAAATCCGCAGCATTGAATTAAGCACTCTCTTGTAGATAGTATGTAGCTCGCTAACACTGAACACCCTTTTATGGAATCAAGAAAAGTTAGATGCCCGCTGCACACAACCGTTCTGGGGAAATGAGCGAGCGAGCAATTGCTCGGAATTTCAATCCTCTGAAGCAATTCATATTTTTTACGTTTTTTTTCTTTTTTCAAATCTCGCGAATCTTATTTTTGAATATGAGTGGATGCTATAACTCCGTTTGTTTCGCAAAAAAAATGAACGATACGAAATAACATTTTCCACAAAATAATCGCTTATAACTCTTACAACGACGAACGAAATTCTTTTTAATCGTTTAATAAAATATTCGGAAATAAATTATTATTGATGATAAAAACACTTTTGTTGACTAATTATTTTAAGCGATACAAGCGATCATTTTGAGAAATATATATTTTTTAAATCATTTAATTTTTTTGCAAAAATAACAGCAACCTGAACATCTAAAAAAAAAATTTTTTTTTTTGAAACGTGCAAATTTCAGGCCAAGACATGATTCCTATGGAAAGAAAAAGTTAAATGGATCAGGTAGTACCCCACGCGCGCGCGCGCACACCAGGGTCAGCCTAGACTCGTTCCCAAGAGCGAAGTAAGAAAAACCCCCAAAAGACGACGCGCCACGTGTCCCCCCAATGCCTTTGGAAGATTCCTCGGGATTCGCAACCAACCGCGTCCCCCCCGCGGGCAATCGCGGCGTGCGCCCGGCACCACGGTGCGCTCGCGGCGTCGGACGGCCGAGATGGAGCGGCCGAGCTGGACCAATTGGGGAGCTCGCCGCGTAGTCGACCCTCACTGGCCAAAACGATGCCCCCCCGCCCCGCGAGCTCTCCTCTCCTCTTCGCGCCGCTGACGTCACTGACTGTGACGACGGTGGTGGGGACTGGGGAGGATTAGAGAGGGGGGGGAGTGGGAAGTTCGCTTAACTGTGGGCGGGGGTCAGCTCCCTTAACCACGGTCAAGCGGCGACCCTCCTCCCTCTGATCAAACCACTATAAAGTCACCACTGCCTTCTCCCTCTCTCGTCCTTGCGCGACAGAAGCGAACGAAGTGGTGGTGGTGTTGGTGGTTGTGACGACGACGGCGGCGACGGCGACTCGGTCCTTCTCCTTCTTCTCCGTCGTCGTCGCCTCCTTCTTCTTCTGTCTAGGTTAGAACTCCCCCTCTTCGATCGCTGCCGTTCCTTCGATTGCGATCGCAATTCGAATTCCCGCGAGCTCGCGTTTCGCTCGCTGGCCCTGTCGATTCCCCCCCCCCCCCCCCCCGATTTCGCGGCCTAATTCGGGGTGCGGTGATTTGGGGGAAGGGAACCGATCGATTGCTCTCTGCTTCGACGGAGGCCGGGGTGAATTTCGGCGAATTTCGCGCAGTCTCGTGTCAGTGGAGTGGAGGTTCTTGGGGTTGTGGTGGTGGTACCGGGTTTTTTTTTGTTTTTCGGTTTTTTTTTTTTTTGCGAAATCTGGAAATGTTGTCCGAGTGTGGCGATCGTCTGTCTGATAGAGGGTTTTCGAATCGAAGCGATGGCGATGAGGGTAGGATTTAGAAGGCGGGTACTTATGAACTTGGGTAATCTCCTAATTATGGAGTCTCGTGTCAAAAAAGGTTCTTGTGGTTGGGTTTTTTTTTTCTTGCTAAATGTGGAAATGTTGTCCCGGTGTGGCGATCGTCGGCTGAGAGGGTTTTCGAATTGATGGCTATGAGGGTAGAATTTAGAAGGTGGGTGTTGGGCTGATAGCTGTAGGACTGCTAGTATTATGCCGGATTAGGTACTTATGAGGGTCGCTGTTTCTTACTGCTTCAGATGAAGAGCGTGAGTTGAGCCATCAGGCGAGAAAATTCTTGGGGATCTTGGATATTTCTGTAATGGGTATTGGGGTTATGCTTTTCTTTTGATCAGCGTATTTTCTTTTTGTATTGATCGTGAGTGTTTTGCGGTTGAGCCCAACAAAGCGAGAAGATTCGCGTACCCGAGCCCACTTTGTGCGTGTAAAAGCTTGGCTCCTTGTTGTTATGAACGTTTTATGATTGCTGTGTTCGCGATGTTACGAACACGACAGATTGGTGAGGTTTGCTGGAATGTGATTATCTAAATGCTTGATTTCATGCTTATGTAACTTTTGTCTATCCATGCTGCGTCATCTGGGACCTTTAGTTTTGACCTGTAATTGTCCACTTCTTCGTTCCATCTGTTGAAATAACTTCTATGCAACTTACTTGAAATGGATGCAAGGAGAATTACATTTAGAGTTATGTGGATACAACTGAATGATAGGGATTTCTCAAAGGTGGTTATAACTATCAGAAAGTAACCAGATGTGCTTAGTCATCCCCATCGTACTTGTGAAGTTCCAATTGCAGCTTTTACTTTGCAAAATTTCAAGTATCCATGCTTTGCCTTGTTACACTACTTTGTCAATTAAATAATTTCCCCTAACCTTTTTTCTCCTGGGACATTGCCTTTACTTTTCTTCTGCTCTTTTCCAGATTGAAAATCATCTTGGTCGTGGGGCATTTTCTCAAGAGACAAAATTAAATTGAAGTCAAGATCATGTGTCCTCCGGCAGTTGAACCTTTGGCTGATATCAAATATGGTTGTTCTGATGAGGTGCTGTTCATGTTGTTGGAGTTGATTATATATGGACATTCACTTCCTGGGAACGTAATCACTGAATTAAATCCCTACTGCTATCGGCCTGAAAATTTACCAGGTAAGAGTTGTGTTTTTCCAAAGTGAAGGCTAATTTTGAGCACTTTTATTCCCTTATGCCGGCCTGCACTGTCGGACTCTTAAGCTGTTTGAGTAGATAGTCCTATGAATCCAGTGTATCAACAATATATCTTTGACCTTCTTGCTGGACCTGGTTGGGGGTCTACACCAAAGTATAGAAGGCTCAAAAGCCTCTGTATTCTCCATATGCCATGTTTCCCATATGCAACCACTAGGTTTAATTAGTACTTTTAAATGCTTGAGCAGCATGATGTCTAACTCCTATAGATAAGTAATATTCCTGCTTCATCATATCAAAATATTTCCAAGAGTAGGGAGACCCTGGGAGTAAAATTATTTCTTTGGTACAATGTCTGTTATGCTAAGGCTCAGCCCATATTTCCCCACGCTTGCCCTGAGCTTCTTACCTTTGGATGGCAATGCTCATCCATCTGGATGTCATGCGTATCTAAGGAGATTTAAATTGCATCTCCACTGTATGTTCACGCTTTCTAAGTAGTAACTTGTCAGGTAAACCTGTTTTCATAAATAGTGAGAGGCATGTTTCAAGTTATTACAAACATCTTAATAAACCAGTCTGACTTGGATGGAGTCCATAGCTAGTTGTGCCCTGATACAATTATAATCCTGCTTGAAGTAAAAGTTTTCAGATTTATAGTACCTCTTACAAGACAGAATGTCTCTATCCTACTTATTAGCATTACTGTGCTAGCTAAGCTGGATTCTATTGTTGTGATTTCTTGATTAATAATGCTAAAGCAAAAGGGAACATTAAAGCAAAGTAACATTTTATTATCATGAGAAAGAAGAGAATGTGTCACCCCATTAGGGGTTTGTATGTGGGCCTAGTCCACCCACAAAGTCTTGAAGCGCAATGAAATTATCTTACTTACCAAAAAGGGAAAAAAAAAAGAAACAAAGAAGAGAATGAAACATGACACGTGAAGTTGTAATTTGAGAAGACTTATTTTGCACATTTGTTCTTCGGCGTTTGTGTCTATTATGATGTGCTTGCGTTGGCCACTTTGTGCTTTGGGCAAGGAGCATGTGCCTTTTCCAAAGTCAGATTGAGCCAAGGAGATGCTCTCAATGGCATAGAATATGTATAACGGTTTTTACAGTTATACTTGTCTTATTATAGTACCTGCTGCTGATAGCAGTAGGGAAATTTAAATAGGTGGTGCAATGTTTCATAGAGACAAAATCGAGTAAAGTGAGAAATCATTTGCATCTCTAGAGGAACTGCACTGTTCGCTTCAAGCGGTTTCATTTGGATTGTGTTAAGAAAATTGTAGTTGATTTAGAAAATTGTTTGTCAGCCTATCAATGATATAAGAAGTGCTTGTCAGAATTGTACTTGACTCATGGAGATGATATATGCAGATGGTATGTGGTACTTGACATGTTCGGAGGACAGTAAAGTTACAGAGCATGGAATCTGGAAGCCCAAAGGGGATCCCCTTAGGGTACCTTTAAATTCCTCCATTAGCGGCTGGAAAACAACTCTCGAATTCTGTGAGCTACGCGCTTCGGAGTTTTCTAAAACCGATTGGATAATGCAGGAGTACAAAATAACAAGGAATGGGTCAAATTGTGAAACCAGGGCAAAGGTGACAAGATCGGTTGAGCTATAGGCTAAAATATCAACATGTTTATTTTGCTTTTATCATTTAGTCTGCTTCCTCCACTCTGAGTTCGGATGGGCAAAATGCAGGGAGCCAATTCACTTTGCAAAGTTTTCCGAGAACATGTATACCTAGTTGACCAGAATGCCCAAACATTTGATGGTTCTGACATTTCTAGACGAAGCAACAACCTGTCAACTGCTTCGCTTACCATTACCTCCAGGAGCAATACTGAAAAAGGATCCACAAGCAACCACCAGGTAAATTTTATTGTCCAATTTTAGCTCTTCTTGAATGCTTTTTGAGCTCTTCTGAACATCTTCGCATCTAGATATCTAACCTTGAACATATGTAGCCTCTTAGGTCGGATAATTCGCTGTCGATACGTTATGTTGGTATAGGTTTATATTAGAAAAGCGCTAAACCACTTAGATATCCATGTCTGGTTGTTGAAGTTTTTCTTCTTTCCATAAGAGTTACTTTTGATGAGTTTTATTCTTCAACTTTCCTGTGTTTATCATTATGCTCCCGATAGGGCTGACCTTGATCATTTCTGATGTCAGCACAACTATCGATGATGAAGTTATTAGCTATGAGTTACTGTTCCAAATATAATAGGGTTTTCCCTGTCCATCTATTTTATGAAGCACTAAGTGACAAACATTTTTCAATGTCCTGATGAATAAGTTACATTATGGTTTTCAATCATGTAAGATCAGCTAGTTTTGCTATTTTGAGAGTTTTCTTCACACAATTGGCTCTTGCATGCTATAGAAGTCCACCTAAATTGGGTTACTCTAAAGATCTTAAATGTCGGATGCTGAGTTTAGATGGTCTTGTGATAAGCTTTTGATACGTTGTAAACATGATAAGGATGCCAATTTTTTGTCTACTTCGTGAGAGATCCTCTTGCTCAATAGAATTTACATTTTCTCACATGACTAAAGAAACAAATTAGATTCTGTCTTCATATGATCTCCTTCTTTGTTGCTTGTATTCTATATCTGTTCTTTGGGGGAAGGGAGACGAACTACTTGCCAGGTGGTAAAATTCTCTTTGCACGAGTGGGTGAATAATAGATTTGGAAATTACAGGTCGTGGCAGCAGATGTTCCTCAGAACCATCCTATGGAAGATCTGCATGCAAATGTTGATGTCGTGGATGACTTCTTGGAGCTGCGGGATCTTGATATTCCTCAGTCACCTTGCTCTAGTTCAGACAATTCTAGTTGCATGACCATGTCATCAGATGCATGTTTTGATGCATTGGCCCTTTTGCAAGACATTGAGGCTGAACAGCTCCAAGAGGCGGAGCAGAAGGATGCGCATGCGAAGTTAAGTGTATCAACTGTTAAACCATCCAATGTGGTTACACATGAAGTGACTTCAGGTAAATTTTAGAAAAAAAAGTTCTAAGCAAATTAATTGCTTTTATTGACTTCTGATATTTTAGTTCCAACATTGTTGTGAGTAGCGATCATTGTTAAGTGTTCATTTGATCTCTAATTTCGTGAATAGCTTACTCTGCTTATGGGTGTAGATTGAATTAGCATACTTCTGCTATTTCATTGATTATCTTCCTTACAGCTCTTAGATGCCTGTAAGAACATCTCTTTTCCTTAGGGACAGAAGAATTGAATTTATATAATGTGATATTCTCACCTCCCGAGTCTTCTTTTCAACTTATGTTCCTAACTGATGCCCTGGATGTTGAAATACATACGGAAGAGTGTGCCTGCTTATTCTTGTCAGGGGCCTTCTTCTCCAAAGAGTCACTTGTGGGGAAGCGGGATCTCTCTATCAGGATTCTGGGGATACCAGGGAGAAGATATTGCATCCTATGATTCTTTCTAATACGAAAACAACAAATTGAAACTCTTAAATGAGCAGGTTTTGTTTGACCCTGAAAGAGAAGAACAGAGACTGTTTCCATTTTGAGGGAATTAGCCAGCTAACATAAACAGAGGACTGAATTTGTTGCTTTTTTTTCTTTGTTTAATTTATACACAACTCGAAGTGCAGAATCTAGAATTAGATCAGACAGGCAGCAAAGGATCATTAGCGCAAGTTAATTTATCATGATGAACGTAATATTCATCATTATGCTGGACAGATTTTCTGTGGCTTTGCCAGTGCTAATTTTATGTGGTAATTGGTCTCTGTAAGAGATTTTGAACAGTTGTGAAGTGAAGCAAAGCTACCTTGTCTCGCTGATGTAGATTATTTTCTTTGACTGCCAAAACTAATGCCGTATACATCTAGTACTTTTTGTGCATGGATGCCGTCGAAATTCTTAAAGAATTTCTTGCGGTCAGTGTAGACAGTAGTTATTTTTATTACTGAGATTAGAATGTTAGAAATTGCTCTTACTATTGTTTCGCTGATCTGAATCACGCATAGGCAACTAAATTGACATTTAATCATTTGCAGGATCATTTACTAGTCATGAACGGGAAGACATCCCCAAAACTGGTTCCTCTCTGCTCGATACAGCTTCAGCTATAAGAAGTAAAGCAGTGGATGGAAGGAATCCGAAGCATGTAGTTGGCGATGGGAAAAGCCAATCTGGTTGCGAAAATGTTGCATCCCGTGCATCAACAAGTGAAAATACTTCAGCCTCGGAAAGGAGGAGAAGGAAGTCTCAAAAGAAAACCAAGATGTTGAAGAAGTTGTGCTTCATACCATTTCAGTTCCTGTGCTGATCCTTAGCCCTTTAGAGTTTTCTTTTCCTGCCATTTAATCGTATATCCGAGAGCACAGCGCTCTCCATATGATTATGATTGGAGCGGAAGCAATATCCAGGGATAGGTATACAAAATGTTCTTTATGCTGATCTGAGATGTTCGATTGATTTGAGAGGTTAGGCTACATAGGGAAGAGGATACAACCTGATTGATGGCCACAAGGTTAGGGTACATAGGGAAGAGGATAGAGTCTGAGATGTAATGTATGTGTGAATGATGGAAATCAGTTATTTCCACTTACTTGTACTTAGTTTACCATTGTCAATTACAAATATTACTAGGATTGGTCTGTGTTTATTGTACTGAAAGGTCGTGTATTGAGGTCGAAAGGAAGTAGGAAACGTCAATTTGCAAAACATCATCGGCAATTTTTAACATGGTATCTTCTATTTTCTTGCGTAGATTATCGTATGATGCTGACTCAACTACGGTTGCGGGGTTTTTCTATGGTCCCTTGACATACATCGTTGTACCGAGTTCATTGTCGTGTTTTTCTTTTTTATATGTTTACTGGGCAAGCTCATTATTGTCTTTGATTCTTGAACAATAGTCACTGCCTTCAGTTCGTTCGTTTGATTACATCTTCTTCAAGGCAAGAAGACGTTCTTGTATAAGAATTCTTTCTACGGGGTTTGCGTACCAAAGATATTTAATTTAAATTTTTTGTAATTTACTAACGAAAATTAAATTGATGGAGGGCTTTGGTTGGAGCAGTGAAGGACAAGACTTCTGACTAGGAAATACGACAGAGACAGTGCAACTGACAAGGGTCCTTCCACTGTTTGCCGTAGGAAACCCGCCACGACAGAAAAAACCAAACGATATTAGTGATTAGTTAAACACCGCAGCCAACACCGTTAAGACGTGATTGGTTTTGTCGGTCAGAAACGATGCATCGGACAACGATGTCCTGGCCAAGAGACACGGATCGCCCGAAAGGCAGACTCTTGTCGACTTTTTTACATCGTTGTAAGGACATCGAAAGTGTAAATCCTCGCCGTCGAACGTGCATGATTCCCTAGGCACTCGTTAATATCCGTGCATACCCGTTTGTTCAAACAATAAACGAGCGTCGAACAAGGTGCAGTTTGCGTCGTACACTTATCGATATGAACATGTTTAATATGTGCATGGGTCTATGTTACTTGTGAGACTCAAGCAAACACTTACGAGTGAAGAAGTCTAGACTTTGTTAAAGTGGCTCATGTATAGATGAAGATACACCTCGTGTTGGTAATAACGGGTTGGTTGGTTAATGAAACAAATAAAATTCACCAAATATAGCGTTATCACATAGATCAATTGCGACTTCTATCCTTCTCTATGGAAAAAGTTCTCGCATCGAAAAAAACAATCTGCCAACTATTAAATTATACACTAGCATAGATCAGCTGTGCCATACAAATTAGTGCTAGCATTAATCTAACTCAGCACCGTTTAAAGATATTGGTATCCGTGTTCCTTTATTCTTGTTCGTGAATCTTATATCTGCAAATAAGAAAGTGACGAGTGTTTTTCTATTGGCCATACCGGCATTCTGATTATTAAATTTAATAGAAAGATTCGTGTCATATTTTTTAAAAAAGTATAGGAATGATAATTTTCAGATAAGAGAACAGAGATTTGGAGCTAAACAAGTTTTTAAAAGGCTCAAGGGAATACACGGGAAGGAACTACCCGGTAAAGTGAAAGGAATTTGCTCGTAAGTTTTCTTCGTATTTCCTCTCTCTTAGGAAGAATGATGCCATTTCACTTTTTGTTTTTTTGACTGAAAACGGTGTTGTTAGTACCTTAATTGTACCGGTCTAACTATACAAATTAGTAAAAGAGCTTGTGAAGATCCTTTACTTTACTGCATTTTATCAAAGACATTTTCTTTAGGTTTTTCTCAAAGGTGCTCTCGAAGCATGTGTTAAGATACCAAATAAAGAAATCTTAAAAACAATTTCTAATACATCGATAGTTCTGAAGACACGTGTGCACAATCATTACTTTGAAAAGCGAAATCCCTTCGTTAAATTTGTGCAACAAATGCTTCAAAGGAACTCATTAAGAACAGACCTTTTCTTTGTTAGACAAGAAAACATTTTAAAAGGATGCGCATGCATTGAAGATAAGGACCTACATTATTAAGGCACAATTATTATCCACCGACAAATCTTTACATGCAACATAAGTTGGGTGAATTGCAATAACCTGTATCATCATTGGTTAATTTAGATTATTAGTTAAATTTTTTTTGGTCTTGTGATTATTATTAATTTACGTAAAACATAATCAGCAATGTTGTTAATGGGTGCTCTTTGAGGCACTTATACCATATTTAATGCCTCGATTTTCAAAACACTACACTTTAGAAAGAATTATTAATGCTCTGAATATGTATTTAGTTACTTAAAGTGTGTTCGTTTGGCGGAAAATAAGTGATTTGAAAAATATTTTCCGAGAAATGATCGCTTATATTGTTTATAAAAATAATTGAATGGAAAATTTTTTTCATTGCCCACAAAAAATAGTTAGGTACAGATTGTTATTGATGATGAATATATTTTTTGTTGACTAATTTTTCTAAACGATATAAGCAATCATTTTTTGGAATTTTTTGTTCAAATCACTCTTTTTCCGCGAAACAAATGCACCCTTAATAAATATTTCACTTCATAGATAGCGGTTAACAAAATTCTTTACAATCGGTATTTTCATGAAAATAGTTAGGCATAGATAGCCGATACGAGTCGCCCATTTTTTTAGGAAACCCATTGTGTTTTAGAGAGCTAACAACTGGTATTTTCACGATGGAATCATATCGTATCGTTCTCGTATTTTGTCAAATTTGAATGTAATCTCAATAAGACAAACTTATTGATCGTGTCGTAACTTTACAGCTCCAAATGCAGTACGTGCATTGACCGGGTTACATGATACGACGGGTTGAAGATACATATTCTTTAATATGAGGGATGATAACACCGCAAATATCCGAATTTTTGCTAATTTCACAATCAAGTATCTAAACTTATTTTTTTTTAATCAAGTGCCTCGAGTTTTCAAATGCGGGTCAATGTAAAGCCTCCATTAAAATCAAGAACGAAATATGCCAACATGAATGCTAATGCTGTTAAATAGCCATCAATTGTCTATAATGACATTCTACATGGCTTCTCGAGATGATGCCACGTGTCTCTCTCTCTCTCATCAATTGACGCCTAAATGGAAATAACACGGTGTTTGTTAAGTAAGCGAGCCACCTCACCTATTGTGCTTAATATTTACCGAGTAAGCGAGTCACATCAATTTACATGACATGGTGATTTATATAAATGGACACGTTACAATGAGCATTATTAACAAAAAAACAAATTTATATACTATATTGTAATACTGCCAAAAGTATAGTTACTTTCGATTTCACTAGCCCAATACATAATCGTGTTTAGACATGACTAAACATATCTAAACGTGTGAAGATTCATTTGGAGTTCCAAACATACCCTGTTCACAAGGATAACATGCTAACATGTACAGTTCAATGTTTCATGCATGTCATAAATATGTTTTGAAGTCCGTTTGAGTTGTTCATCGTTTTTAACTATATGATATGATATGTAATATTTTGAAAAGAAAAAAAAAACTTGATGGGAACATCCTTAAAGGCGCATCGGTTAACGTCTTGGACCAAAATAGCTGGTCTCATTAACAAATTTCACTAAGAAATAGTTCGCACGATCTCAGCCCAAATAATCTAATCTATTTGTAAATGTTTCAAGCACAATTTCCCAGAAAAACTGCAGGCATAAAGCCACTGAGGAATCTAAACTTTTTTAATTCGTGCAATCCCATCCATAAATTCTTTTTTTTTTTCTCAACAGTGTCGTTCATGACATGTAATTTTTTGTTCGTGTTAATCCTTCTGTCAAAAGCCTAAATGAAAATGCCAACATGGCTGTTGAGTGCCACGTCACCTCTCACGTGGTGTCCGCGTGGCGCTTATGTGGCTAAAAAATTAAAGCAATGTCGTGTTAAACATTATCAATTTCCAACTAAATACAAAAATAAAAGGAAAATTGCTGCCAGCCAATAAAGGCCGGCGGTGTCTCCTCCTAGCCATCGCCGAGGGTGGCCAGACTCTTGCTGAGCTTGGGCAAAGGCGGCATTGGCCCCAACCACCACGGACACCCATAGAGGGATGAAGAGATAGAGACTACTTATTAATCGTGTCATGGCTCTAACATGGTATCGAAACTAGATACTGCCCCAGTTTATTTCGCATGCACGCTCCCCCTGTTCATTAAATTTGCGTGTAGTTTCTAATAAGGTTTGCATGTGAAAGGTTTGTTTACATGGTTAAGTGGGCAACCATATGCTTCGATGTGCATTAAATGCTGGGTGACCCGCATTAAACGCCGGGATATTGATTGAAGATAAACAAAAGAAGAATTAGAATTTGCATATTTATATAAATACGATTTCTCTCGACCTATCAGCTTAACTAGTTGATTTGTATATTTGCACATATGCATCTTCAGCTTTGTCGGCGACGATCACTGCAACTAAGCTGGCCTGTCGCTGGAACGACGAGTATTGTAGATGCAGATAAATCCGAATTTCGTCTTCTTTTCCATTGCAAATTTATTCTTTCCAAAGGATTAACGTTTCTTTTAATTTTGCATAATACCTGATAGCCATGTAAGCCCCACGTGGCCGACACATACGTGAAAGCATGACATTTAACAACTTTATGACGGCCACATCATCATTTACTCTATCTTATTAACGGACGTATCAATATAAATGACAAAACTGGGATAAGTATATTGAAAATCTTAAAAAATGACCATCTTTCTTATTTGGAAAGGAGGAGGGTGGGAGTTCGATTCCCCACCTTCTCAGGGGGGCTAGGGATAAGGAGTTTAGTTTTATATGCGGGTTTTGATTCCCACGCTCTGTAAAGAGGCGGAGCAAAAGTCTGAAAGTGAGCTGAGAGTTAGAGTATAAGAGACAAAAAAATAAATAAAATTTGTCATGAAAATACAACTGACTTCTAAAACTTTCAAAAAGTATAATAAAGTCCTAAAACCTATTAAGAAAGTACAATTGAGTCATAAAATTTCAAAAAGTACAATAAAGTCCTTAAATTTATCAAATTGGTGCAATCAAGTACAAATGAAAAATGCTAACAAGCTTTAGGACTCGATAGCATTATCTTGACAAGTGTTTTTTAGGACTTTCAGTGTACTTATCTTGTAAAAAAAACTGATCTTTAGGGCCACGTTGCCGGAACAATGAGTTCCGAAATCCAATTGCATAAATAAAATGGTTAATATCACGAAAAACCCAAAACTGATACGCCTGTGATAAATTTACCAAAAACTAATTTTTTTACCATAAAAAAATCTCAACTCGGTACACTTGTGACAATTTTACCCGTCCATTTTCGAGTTGGATGCACGTGGCAGTTAACGGATGTACCGGTTTGAGGTTTTTTATGATATAAATCTAATTGATATAAGGTAAATTTATCATATATGTATTAATTTGAGATCGGTTTAGAATTTTCTAGCGATATATTTATCACGAATATAATAATTTAAGACGAAGATTTGCCGCGGCTTTATCCACGGGCTTTATCCGAAAACTCCATCGACAGCAAGCGAAAAAAGTCAACCCGTACGCTCACGTCATATGTCCCGGTCGGTCGAGCTCGCTCCTCCGTATTCCGATCTAAATCGGTTTAATTTACCGCTTCCGCCCGCGACCCGTGAACTCGTCTCCTCTCGGGCCGGGGGACGGCCCCGATGCTCCCCCAATCCCGAACCGACGGCCCGGATCGCACCAATCTGGCGGGAAAAAGGATCGTGGGCCCCAACAATCAGCCAGATATTTCCTCCTCCTCCTTCCTCCTGCTCCTTCCCAACGTCCCCTTTCCGTCTCCGTTTCCATTTATCCATTTATTTTTTTGAAAAAATAAAAACGAAAAATAAAAAAAGGAAATGATTAAAAAGAAGAAGGGTGGGTATCCCATGCTGGATAAGACAGCTCACTCCTCCCCCCACGTCAGTCCAGCCAGTCAGGGGGGTCTCCGACCGACCGGGCCCCACCCCCCCCCCCCCCCCTTCATTTCCGCCTCAGTATCTTACCGTTACTCCCGGTTCCACGTCCCCCCTGGATTTCCCACTTTTCTCCTCGGCCACGCCCCGCTATTTACGCATCGACCCCACCCCCCCTCCCGAGGTCAAGGCGGGCGGGGGGGGGGGCACTCCCGTCATTTCGCGGCCGCCCCTCCCTAACGTGCGCCCCCCGGTCAACCGGTCAACCGCCGGTAAACGCTCCCCCTCCCCCACCCACCCACCCACCGAGCACCAGGCCACAAGCTGTGTCGCATGATGGCTCGCCCGTCCGACGTGGCAGCGCCCCATTGGCCGGCCCCGCGTCGTCGGGATTCATAGCACCGTGCGCACCAATTAAAAAAGAAAACGCCCCGTCGCGCTCTCTCTCTCTCTCTCTCTCTAGCTCTCCGTGTCTTTCTCTCACTACTACGGCCGTGTGCTTCTTCTCCCCCCGCCGAAACCCCCCCGGAAATCCGTCGCGATTCCGCCCGCCATTTGGGCCTCCGGCGCCTCCGAATTCGAGCTCGGCGATGCGCGATCTCTCCGTCGGCTCCGATTTCGTCCCGTGAGGCCCGCCTCCGGGAGAATTTCCGGGGGCAGCGGTCGTGGTCGGACCGCGGCTTGTTGCGGGGAAAATGCTGGAAGCGGCGGTGCAGAGCGCGGCGAACGGAGCGGGATTGCCTCAGCTGCAGAGCTGCTGCGGCGGCGGCGGCGGGGGCGGGGGCGGGGACAGCAGCGAGGAGGAGCTCTCCGTGCTGCCGCGCCACACCAAGGTCGTCGTCACCGGCAACAACCGCACCAAGTCCGTGCTCGTCGGCCTCCAGGGCGTCGTCAAGAAGGCCGTCGGCCTCGGGGGTTGGCATTGGCTGGTAAAAAAATCTCCCCTCCCCGGTTCCTTCCTTCCGCTCGGCTCTCGGCAAATGCCGGCTTTTTGGTCGGAGTCCTCTGCATTGCGGACATGCAATGCGGTGGCGTCCCCAAATTTCGGATTTTTTGAGCTTTTTGAGTTCTCCGAGCTGCAATCGTTGCTTCGCCACAATGTGGGTGCGAATTTGGCCATTAGGGCAATTTCCCTTTTTGCCCGGCGATGGATTTGGTTGGTTTTGTTTTTGATGGCGGGGAAGATTCGCTTCCCTCTGTGGAGCTCTGGATTTAGGTCTTTTCTTCTGCACATTGCTGGGTAATGCATGTTTGCTCTTGCAATGGTTCGGAGATCCTGCGTGCCCGCTTAGGATTTAGTGTTCTTCCGCGCCAATCGAGGGATTCTTATTTTATTTTTTCCCGATGATTGTGCTATCTATTGGGCATTGCATGTTTGATCGAGCCCGCGGATCTGGCGATTGGATAAGTCTTTCTCATGGCGTGGCGCTGTGGACTGGCATTTGACTGAAATTGAGCTTTTGCTTATTTGGTACTTCAGAGTCAACTTTCCTTGCTTACTTACTGATCACACTTCTTCCGGGGCTGTTACTTAAGCTCATAGTTTTTTTTTCGTTTTTGATTTTTGCGCTTGAATCTGAAGCTTGTCTCACTACCATGTGCTGCATTTGATTTCTCTTTGCCATCATTGGAGAAGCTCGATCCGGGAATCTGCACGCTAAAATATATATAGGAGAATAGGAGATTTTTGTGCTTATTGCTCCGGGGAATTTATCCTCGACCGATTATGCAGATTGGCCTCGAAAAAAAATATCGGTTGGGCGAGGATATACAGTCTAGGCTTCTTTTTCTTAGTTTCCCAAGTATCAACTGGATGGTGTGCTGCAGTGCCAATTATGTACCATGAAGAAATATTCTCCTTTTTTATTAGCAAAAGTAAAAGGGCACTTTTGCGTCTGTCGGTTTGAGAAAATTTGTTGTAATATGTACTAATTAGTGAGATTGTCTTCTTTTTAAGCAACTGCATTTCGTCTGTTTTGCTTCGTCATCATGTGTCCCTTAAAGTCTCTTCCTTTTATGCATTTTATGCTCATCTTTCTATTCATCGTTCACTCGAGCGTGGGCATCACTTTTCGGCCTGTCAAATTCTGATGGTGTAGGTTCTGACCAATGGAATCGAAGTTAAGCTTCAAAGAAATGCACTTAGCGTGATTGAAGCTCCAACTGGAAATGAGGAAGATGATGACCTTGATTTTGAGAATGGGCAATTCAATGGATCAGATATGGGTGAGTACACAATAAGTATAACTTTAAAGCAACTTGTTCCTTCAGAGAAAAAAAAGGGTCATTTTAAGTGGACCCTGGCGGAAATCACCTCATTGTGTGAACCTGGGATTATTGTTAAACCATACAAAAGGTTTTTCAGTAGACAGCATTCTTTTCCTTAATCATGCTGTCGGCCGCTTAAGGAAAGAAAGTTAATAATAAATCTATTTATTTCTGCGATACTTCTACCAAATGTGTTTATGATTGCGTACATGATTATAGGAAAAGTGATATTCGTAATAGGTTCTTTTATGGTCACACTTGTTGTTTAGTAAAGAAATTTTTGATTGCCATTGCATCATAATCTGGAGAACAGGCATGTTGCTTCAAATGCATTATTTTCCGTATGTACTGAAATTGTGTTCATGGGCTTCTTTTTGAACATGGTTGAGGTTGTTACATTGGATCCAATTTTTTATGCCTTTTGCTTTTCACATTGCTTAATATCTCCCTTGTCTCCCGTTAACTTTTTTTTTATTTTTAATACTGTCATGTCATTGTCACTGACACTCTTTCAATTGTGCTATGTTTGTGTGATACCTTGTTTTTTAGCTTCAGATGACACTCAGAAGTCACACAAATCGAGGCATCGAGTGCATAAATCATCCGGGTCCTCCCACAAGACTATGAGCCGGTCCCTCTCTTGTGATTCACACTCTAAAGGATCTATCTCTTTTCCCCGTGGGTCCACAGTATGTAGAAAAACACCCTTGTTTTCTCCTATTCTGTTTTGTATAGCTGGAGAGCAATTCTTCACTTTCCTCCTGTTGCTTCCTACGGTTTCTCTTCCATGGCCTTGAAATATTGCTCACACTGGGCTTCTCCTGTGCAGAAGGTTGACCTTAGCAAATTGGAGACAGCTGCTTTGTGGAGATATTTACGACATTTTAATCTTGTTAGTTCTTTTTCTTTTTTACTTTTATTTCTTTATGTGGCAAAAGCATTTGATTGCATGTGAGTGTCTGTGTCTCATCTCTACTCGTCTCATCTCATCTCGTCACTGTCATTTCTCCAGGTGGATGCTATCCCCAACCCATCAAAAGAGCAACTAATCAATGTTGTTCAGAGGCATTTCATGTCGCAGGTACTCGCATAACGTCCACATTTGTTCATTATTCAGTCGCATGCGGTACTCAATGTGCTGGACGATGCGAATGTTGGTTATCTGTATGCCAGCATTCATCTTGAACTGTGACTATATTATTTAGTTAGAGGCAATGGGATCCTCATAATTGTGTTAGTAGGTAGCAGATTGTTTATGGGGCTCAACTGCAATCTTGTTAGCGTTCAAGTTTCTGCGAGGTGCCAACATGTTTCTTTGTCTTTTTTTTCCCCCTTGTTCCGGTGAAGCAAATGGACGAGCTGCAGGTTATTGTGGGGTTTGTTCATGCTGCGAAGAAGATGAAAACTGCTGGAAAGTTAACCCGAGAGAAATGACCGCTTTTGCCGCCGTCCATGCTAACTGATCAACTGATACTGCTACTGGAGTCCTCTTCCCGCATTTGTAACATATGTGTCCATGTGCTGTCTATCCTTCTAGTCTCGGTTACTAGGTTTAGAGTTGGTCCCTGACTTGTAGAGTTTCTTGACATTTTCAGGTAGAGCATTAAACTTGTAGATATGATGTGAGACTCTTGACATGATACTCAAGAACCAGCAATCCCCTGTGGGTGACTTTAAATTAATTCCTGACTCAGGGAAGAGGATTTCTCCAATATATGTACATATGCTTCATTTAATCCAATCTCTCTCTCTCTCTCTCTCTCTCTCTCGTGCCCACATGTTCTTGATACTTTGTAGCATTGCATATGGATATTTTGGTATATGCCTGTTTTGTATTGATCGTCTCTTTTATTGTTGACTTAATGAGTCCAGGCTGTTTGCAAGTCGCAAATGTGAGGAGACGGTCCCCCCAATCCTAATCTATTGTAGAATTAAATGGAAGTTGTTTGAAATTGTAGGCTGCGATTCTCTCTCCTAAAGTACTTGCGGCTTTCGTGCACGTTTGAGCTTTGTAGTAATCCATGTATTTTCCAAAGCGCTTTGAGCTTGTCAAGTTTCATGGACAGCATTCACCTCATCCTCTCCGTTGTGTCCGCTATGAGCAACTTCCTACAATCTCGCACTCGGTATAAGAAAGCAAGGAAAAGAAAACCTCAGAAATAACAGTGAGGGCTACAAAAACATGGGGCATTCGCCAAAATGAAAGTCACAACCACATAGAAAGTGGCGAGAATTCGATAACGTGTCGTGTTCGAAAAATGCAGATGCTACTATTGTAAAGAAATGGAGTGTATTCCCACCACTTAACGCTGTGAAATGATGAACCGTAACGCGACGGACCACGGTAAGGTGGTAAGCCACGTCGATGGACCCGGCGGGGATCAGGACCGTGGCGAGGCCGAAAATTGCACGTTCCCTAATGGGAAAACTTGGTGGTCATGTGAAGGGCTATCTCTAGAAATGCTCGCTTGATATGTCCTCGCATCTTCGCATCGCCACTTCCTCCGTAAAACCACGCGCATGCGAAGCGTTCGCAGCGGAATCTACATGTACACCGAGTGCCGCGACCTTATCCCTGGACGGTTCCCCCGAGTTCTCCAAACATGATTTCCGTGGCCAGCAACTCCGGAGCCGGTAGGAAGATGAAAACAGACTGGGGACGAACAAGAATTGGGAAGTGAAGTAGAAGGAACCGTCTAAAGAGAAGTAGAGACTACTTTGTGCGAGGATATATCCAAGGCTTGCTCCGGAAAGATTACATCTGGAGCTAAACCTATTGTGCTGCGTATTCGATGCTTGCTTATCTTAGCTTATTAGTAATCGGGCCCCTGCTGCGCGTGCGCGCGCAGATTTGGTGATCTCGTGGAGAGAGAAAATGAGTCGTCTTTAAAGAAGTGGACGAAGTTGGAAGTTATTGGAGACGTGTCACGTGTATCCTTTTTTGTCTTTCTATTTTATAAAGTGAGAGCAATTTAGGGATGTCCGATAAGTGAGATGGAAGCCTCTCTTTTGTTTTCCTTAAATAATCCAGTGACAAGCACGTGGAGACCCGACTACCTGGAGGCCCATGAAACACCATGCAAGCCCTATGAACTGATTAAGTCTAGGCATTTGTCCTTTCCAAGTGGCACTGGCGAAAAGTAGCTTACATACAGTTTGTGGGATTCGAATAAGTGACTTCTAATTTCTGAATTGGAAATTCTCAAATAGTCCAACCAAGTGCCCCAACCCTAGAGATCCAAAAGTTCTTTAGACTTAAATATATAGTGAACATCCGAAAGTTTAAGAATGGAACCCTTTGAAGTTTGAGACGTCGTCCCAATTCCGTTTGTTTGTAGGTAACTAGAGCATCCTCATATAGCACAATAATTTGGTTTCTCTATTTATATTTTATTATATGCGGAAGTTTTTAATTAGTCGAAAACATACAAGCAACAAATTTAAGGAGTCTACATTATTGTTTTGTGGTTTCTGAAGCCGCCAAAATCCAATCGCCTTGATACCACCCCCTATTTCTTTTTCTTTTTTTTCCTCTTGACTTGTCAAAATGGTGACAAACTATATAGATCACTTATAGGACAGTGTTCAATTTAAGGCCACGGATTCGACCGTGCACCACTGTTCGGTGAGCGAGTCCCGTCATCCCCTACTTCACCACGACGTGAGTGAGAAGTCAAAAACCGGCGATATGCCTGAGCGCATCCCTCGGTATCACAACTCGCAAACATTAACGGGGAGAAGATATCAATGAGTCGGGCACGCGTTGAAATGTATCTAGGCCACCGGAAATGATGGTTTTCACTTGGGCACGAGCGGATCCCACCATATTTGACAGTTTGTATGCATCTCAGCCTATATTTGGCACTCAATAAATTGCTTTCTCATCACCAAAAGAGAAGCATAGCATTAGAGACAGAGAAGCAACGTAGAGATGCACATTCTGCTTAGAATGGCTTCAACTCTTCTTCGGGCGGTTTGGATTGGGCTGCGCGTCGTTTAGGCCCATATCCTAACTTGGGGCCTAATGCCATATAAAGACTCGATTCCATGACGAGCTTAAGTTTACAGATTTCTAGGGCATATCGAGGAACCACGCAGACATTATTCTAAAGCGTGCGAACCATTAGAAATTGGCTTAGTCAACCTAAATTCTAACTTCTGGCAAAACATATTAATTTTGGATTGGCTAGAATGGTGTTCACTGTTCATAAATGTTGGTTTCTTTTTTTGTTTTCCTTTCGTCTCCTACCATGAGACGAGATATGTGGTACATTTGTCTCACATATGAACCAGTCCCTTAGCACTTGGATCATTCTACAGCAAGCAACCCTTGCCTTTGCCCGTTCGTGTAGTTCATGCCCGCACTGACCGATCCTTCTGCCGTGCCATGGTCGATTCTCGTTCCAACTTGTGACCTCGTTTTAGGCATGCCTAGCCCGTGCTTGTGATCCATGCTTGACGCGAGTTAAGGCCCTAGTTCGTGCCCAATCAATGAATCCGATTCAAGGCCATGATAGTAGCCAATGGTAAAGGGGATGTCTTCGACGAAACCACAAATTTGGATGATATAGCGAGTGAACCGTTAGTCAACTCGTGCAATGGGCATCCATTTGACAAACGTGGAGACATTTTTTTGGCTTTCGGCACGCTAGTAGAGCTGCGGTGACGAGATCGGCAACGTTTTACCTTTGTGTTCAGGGACTGAGTTGTTATAATTCAAATTAAACTCTTTTTCAACGGTGCGCAGCGCTTCTCCTAATCTTTAGAGAAATAGCTGCACTGATGGCCCATTCCCCACCCTTCGGCCCATATAGAAAAGGAACACAATCCGCAAACTCTCTCTTTCAACTCCAGTTAGGCACGCAAAATTTACCCAGATGCTTTGGTGCACTCCTCATCGCTCTCTTTTTTGGTGGGAGTAAAATGAAGTGGTGATGCTCTCGATCACAACGACTTGCTCTTCTTTGCGGGCACGTACAAACCCCCAATGCCCCTCGTCGTGATGACTCCACTTCCCAACATCTTTCCCTTCCTTCTTTCCATTGAAGAACTCGCGGCACGCCACCGAAACAAGCACCCAACAAAGATCCCAAACCTTTATGGTCAAAGATGCATTTGAAGACCCCCATGTCGTGGGGATTGTCTTCATGTACAACCCAAAAGTAACTGATCTGCAACTTTGGCAATAGATCTGTTTTCCGGCGTATTAAGCACCCCACGATCAGAAATTGTGGATACCCACTGAGTTTTATTCAGTCAAAGAAACGACTTTTCCGCTTTGGCCGCTCCACTTGTTTAAGTGGGCCAATTGGGTGTGAAGAGGGAAATGGAGGAACAATTTGACAAATTAGCCATTTTAGCTCCTCATTGAGATGGTGAGATTTGATTTTCTCGGAAAAATCACGGTTTGACAAGTATACCTTGACGACGAGTGACGTGACAATGACATGCGAAGAGATTCTCCGACTCCATGCGAGACTTTAAAAATGCGGATGGAAGTTTTGATTCAGGCTTATATAAAATGTTGAGCATCGCTATCGGCTAGTTATATTTCTTCAGTAATACAGCCAATACACAAAATATTTTCCGGTGCACCGCCAGTGCCATTGATGCTAAATTTGGTGGTTTGTTCTCTCCACACAAGACAATGCAGTGGTCAAGATTTGATGTCATCGAAGCACCTTTTGATTAAACTTTTCCTCCAATCTTGGCAAATGGGGCACTTCACTCACTTTTCTTATTTCTTTTTTTTGTTGTAAATTAGGGTTTTGGGATTTTTTTAAATAACTTTGCGAAAAGAATAGTAGATATGATAATTTTAATTTATGATAAAGTGTAGTCTTCCTTAAAGCACAAGGAAGGAACGGAGCTGAATGCAACGGCTGTCCATGTCAAGCACTTCTGGGACTATAGATGATGGATGCATAAGTTTGTCATCCTTATTTTATTTGGTTTAATACCACGAAAAACTCCAAATTGATATACCTGTGATAAATTTATCCCAAAATAATTTTTTAACCACCAAAAACCCCAAACTGGTACATCTGTGACAAATTTACCCTCCGTTAGTTTTTGTTAAATTTTACCGTCAAATTATCGAGTTAGATGACACGTGACAGTTGATGGGTATACCAGTTTGGGGTTTTACTCTCCGTTTATCACAGGTATATCGATTTATGATTTTTTGTGATATTAATATAATTTAACGGAAATTAACGGAGGGTAAATTTGTTACAAATGTACAAGTTTAGGGTTTTCGGTGGTCAAAAATTAGTTTGGAGTAAATTTATCACATGTGTATTAATTTGGAATTTTGGTGGTAAAAAATTAATTTATGGTAAATTTGTGATAGGTGTATCGATTTAGGATTTTTCGTAACATTAATCCTTTTTATTTTCTGTCTACTGTCAATCCTTATAAAATCATTCCTTCCACTCTTTTTCTCCAAAACACAGCAGAAGATGACGTTCGATTCTATATTGTGTATAATCTTATTTGACCTCAATTAACATAACCTCTCTCTCTCTCTCTAATATTTTCTTAGCCAAATTGTTATGGAAATTCAGAAATTTTTAAGAGATGTGTTTTTAAATTTTTCACGAATCAAGCTTAATGAGATCTCTTGAATGTTTTGGGTTCAAGGACCTTTAGCCTCTCTTCAACGATGTCCACTCAAATTTCACGAAGAGAATTAATTGGTTTACATCTCATCGTACTTGTTCTTTATCTAATTGACTTTATTACATAATGCGACGGACT